TTGTCTCGGAAAAAAATTTAAAAAAAAATCCTGTTTGTTTTTCGACAAACACACCTTTTTCCCCCCTGAAACATCCGCACGAACATCGGAAAAAACGTTGGATCCATAAATCGAGGACGCAACAGCGGATTGGTGTTTTTTTCTTTTTTGTTTTTTTTGGTGGGCTCGTTACGCATAATAAATCCCCAAAAAAAGCAACGCCACCTCGGATCCATAATTCACCTTATAACCACAATAAACTCGGCAATTTAAGCCAAATTTATAAGATAGCCAGTGTATACGTGAAAGTACCCTCCTTGAAGTAAAAAAAAAAAAAAAAAAAAGTAAGCGCAACGAGAAGAGCAAACACAAACGGGCCCAGTACTTACAATACAGTGTCATTCATCCACGCGCAATGAGCATCTATCCCCGCGGGCCCCTCCCTCCTAAATTTCACATTATCGCTGTGGGAACGCCAAAGTCGCCCGCTCGGGCCTTTAAAAGCCAAAAAAAAGGGACCATCCGAGAAAGAGATATATAGGAGCGTGCGCTCAGTCCATTTAAGTCCGCCCCGTAATGTATATAATAAACACACACGAGAAGGAAGAAGGGGGGGTTATCCCAGACGGAAGGTGCTCTCGTATGCTCGCCCATGCGGAAGAGGGTCTTCGCTCAGCACCGTATGTACACAATAATATATATATCAGAGTAGTAGAGCGACAGCTGCACCGGCCTCGAGGCTCGCACGCTTCTTTTCTACTTCGCCGGTAAGGGTATAATATATATATATATATATATATATATATAGGTATCCAAAAATATCATCGGAGCCAAGCCACGTGCTGCCGATGCGCAAGAGACAGACAGAGAGCACGTGCTCTCTTTTTTTTTCTCACACCCCGCGCGACCCCTAAAATAATGCGCATGAGCGACCCTCCGTGTATGCTGTATGTGTGGCGAGGAGGTGTCGTCGAGTGCGTGTCCGGGTGTTCGGCTGGTGCACAGCTCATTGTGGCGCCGGGCACTATATACGTTTGCCTCCTGTTGTACACTGCACGGGAATCCATATATATATATACCCACACGTGACTTTTTTTTCTCCCACGATAGGTATATACATTTAATGCTGCGGAGGGATACGCGTAGGTGGCTCTCATGTTCCATATACCTACTCACTGTGTATTTCCTGTATAAACACCGAATTCGATGCCCACGGGGACCCTCGAGTGCCTGCAGTATATAAACCCTTCCGTTTTTCTCACGCGTGTACACGTTTTATACATATAGGATTAGTGGGTTTCGAGTGAAATAGTCGTAAAAACAAAATTTCCCTAAATCATCCCTTTCTCACATACGCTTACACGGGTACACAATAAATCATGTTACCGGCACGCGAGGCTCTCCCAACGTAATATGGTGTTGAATAAATTACGAAAATAACTGTTTGTGCGCTCTTTTTCTCTCTTTTATACCTATGCTCGCATCTTTGAATTAAAATTAAAAAAAAAAAAAAAAAAACAAACCAAGGATATACCTATAGAAAAAAAAGCACAAAATAAGGCGGTTGAGAAAACAACGCATCGTCCGAGAATGATCGGTATACGGTCCACCACCGGAGCAAGTATCCATGACATGAAGGGCCCGTCCACCGCAGAAGGCAAGCTTGTATATATATATATGTACAACGTGTATACGTGGGCACGCGTTTTTTCAAGCAAACGCTGTACACGTCGCCTCCGCACCCTTTTTGGTATCTCCCTGTTGCATACGCTCGGACTACTTTCGCGAGAGCACGCGCCCATGTGTGAGTGTTACAGGTTCTCGGTGGAAAAAAAAAAATCTATCGGCCAATACTCGTCATACTGTTAGAAAAGTAGTCGCTGTATGAGAGGACAATCCAAGCAGCTGCACCCTTTTTTTCTTCTTTTTCTCTTGCTATTTTGAATTTTTATTACTTGATTAATTGTTTCGAAGGTAATTATCATCTTTGGATGAGATTGGAGATTTTCGTCACGCGCAATCGTTCGATGCGAATTGGAGCTGGCCTATACGTTTCATGTGTATGCTGGTGCATGTTGTGTCTGCGGGAAAATGGTGCGTGTCAGTATACGTTATTTAATCCATGTAAAAATGTACATTGCGTGCAAGTATGTATATACGTAACGAGAATTTTCGAGGGTTACTAAGGGCGTATAAGGTAAGTACACACGTTCCGCTTCGCTCGCGAGGACCATACCCTCGTAACTCAATTATTACATCAGCTCGATATACATGGCTATACCTGTAATAATCGTTGCACAACGCAGCAAGACTAGTCTAATGCAGGTACACGCCCAAAGTAACTCAATCCTCGAAAACTACGACGGTACAAACAGCACGTCGGGGACGCGTACATGACAACCGGCAGTGGAACCGGTACGGCACACGGTCCATAGGTGCTCCGACTAGTCCGCGGGGGGATCACGATTTTTTAACCCCATGGTCGGGTTTTCCCCTCTCCTCGAGTATACCAGGTATATGTGTACGGACTCGCGTTGGGTGTACACACATTTAGGTATACGAGAAAGGAGAACAGGTTTTGTGTACATGAATATGCAGGTATACACACGGATGACTGCAGCTGTAAGGAGATGCACTGCGAGTACATATCACCGCGGTGTCGATAAATCAGAATTACGCGGGCTTTCGTCACGTGCGCATAAATATAATACTAGACTGTAAGTATAGGCACGTCAGACGAGAGAGAGAGAGAGAGAGAGAGAGAGACTTGTATACGTTGATAGAGAAGGAGAAAGAGACGAAATCTCCAAGCACGATATATCGTACTCAGATGTATCCAGCATGTAGGTGTTGCGCCACTTCTGTCTGGTCTGGCTCTCCCGAAGCTTTTTTTGCTCTTAACATTACGCGCGCGCGACATAAAGACCGAGGCGTTTCGTCATCGTTGCTCGCTCCCTTTGTCCTTCCTTTTTGCTACTGTCTTCCTGCCTGTGCATGGTTTCCTGTCTTAACACATTTACCGTGGTCCTATAATATATTACGTGGGTGGACAATAATGCGCGATGTTTCACCCCCTTCTCTTTTCTCGTTGGCTTCATTTTGGTGCAACACTGTGTTTTTTTTGTCCAGGGCACAATTAACAGCTCCACAGCGGGGTTTCGTGATCGTTCATGAAACGAGGCACAAACATCATTTCATTTCTCGATACTTTGGCCCCCTTTGCTGTGACATTTTACCTTTCGAGGCAGGAAAAGACGCAAACTTAATCCTCTTGGTTGGGAAGTAATTTTATAGAAAGTTCCATCTCCCGACACGCCCAGTTTTCAATCGAAACGACAAATCGAGGTTTCTCCAGATAACGGCACATAATCCACTACATTTTTACTTGCCACGAGATACCAAAGCAAAAATGAAACAAAACAAAAAAGAAAGAACTCGTGGAAATTAACGAATCGAATGATAATCATTCCAGCGACGCGCGCAAAAGTACCGCCTTTCGAAACGCACCGTCCGCGTGATTCCCTTTCGAATTTTTTCCTCGCAACCGCAAATTTCACCGCGACAAAACGACGGTCCGTCGAAATAGCAGAGCAGCGCCGGAAGCGCACGTAGCGTAAAAACACGGGGCTCGGCGAATTTCTCCGACGCAAAATTTTCGCGGCTCCCCGCGCGCGCGACACGCCTCCGACTCCAACCGGACGACCCGTCGCCGACAAGGCGGAATGGAGCCCCTCCCTCGAAACCGGACGATCCGGAAGGAGGCAAAAAACCAAGCCAAGGGGGGAATCGATCTATTTATACATCGCCATTAGCACCACCGGTATAAATACCGCCCTTCTTTACCGTGTTTTTCCATACATATATAGTTTGGGTATTTACTTTGGCGCGCAACTCGTCCGTTATTTGTTTAACTTGTCGCTCTCGAACACGTGCACCGAGGGTCCAACATCCGACTTTCGTTGTTCTTTTTCACTCTCTCGCGTTTGACTCGTCTTTCGACAATAAGTACCTTTTTGACAGACTGCATGGGTACGCCGATGAATCACCGAGGGCTTCGGAGAAGATACGTGCACCACTTGGAGATTCGCCGATTTTCGCAGGTGCAAAGGTCACGGGGAGGGAGAAAGCCGAAGGTCAATTTGGAAAGCGGGAGGGGCCGCAGCGGGACGAATACGGGGAAAAACGGGGGCGAGTTTCCGGCCAAAACAACCTTCCCCCCCTTGCTTTTGGAAGCCCGTCATTGTTCTATGCCCTCTGCTGCTCCTCCCCCCCTTTCTTTTTCCCCTACGCTTAGGAGGGACGGAGCAGAGGGCTGGTGTGTTTTTAAAAAAAAAGGCACGTCCGCTCTGCGTTTTCAATCATCAGCGCGCCACAGGTGCGGGCCGTGAGCTCATTAGAGCCGAGCGTTCGATCAGACATGCATCGTCTCCCATCGCGCGGGTGTTGCTTCACCTGGTTATACTTTCCGCGGTTGGGGCATCCCTTCAGTCTATGGTACGGGAGCTCTCCTCGGTTGCATTGTCGTTTGGGTCGAAGGACGCGGTGCGTTAATTCCTAGTGAATGAAACTTATCTATAAAAAAAAAAAAAATTTCATACAATCAATGGATGAACTAACGTCTCCGAGAGTGTGATTTCGCAAGTTTTATTATACGAATTGCTGATGATATATATATATAGGTACGAGAGACACGTGAACATTTTAAAAATAAAAATAACAACTTATGGATTTAGATGAAACTCGGCGTAGTGATAGCTTATACGTTTCGAATGATATATCATATAATAAAGCTGATCGACACAGTGAAAAAAGTTACACAGTACGAAAAGTTTTTTAGAAATTTTCGAAAAACAAAAACGAATGTTGAACTTGATGGTTGTCTTTTTTTGTTTGCAGAGAGGCGCAGGATGCGACTGTTCAAGAACAGGCGCTCGCTCGACCAGAGTCCCGAGCTCGTGTCTGCGACGCCCATAAGCCAGGACCATCCGCTGGACATTGACGACACTTGCACCCGAGAATCGTACGACAACAATCACTTTCGCAACGAATGGAAGATGGTGAGCGACGACGCTAAGGCTGAAGCCGTGACGATGCCGGTCGCTACGCCCAAAAGGACCAAGGAAGTGACGAGTCCCGAGTCCTGGGGTCAGAAGCAGCGCACGGAAATGCTTCCACCTGCAGCGCTCATCCCCCCATCTTCTAAAAGTAAGCTTTTTTAAAATATTTTTACTTGTTTGGATTTTTTTTTAACCAGTCGGATCCTAAATATTACAATGTAAACGAAAATTGACAAGTGGTTAACTGCACGAGAATAACCAGACTTGGGCTTGGATACTTTTTTTTGTGCCAAGTATTTGGAAAAAGAATCTCAATATATTTACATCAAATGCTTGACAATAAGCTTTAACATCCAGAATGTATTTGGCAGCTAAAAAAATTTTTTCTTTGTATTGTATTGTAAACAGTGGTAAAGAAAAATCTTGTCAATGGTAAAAAGAATGCACTTTTTAGTAAAGATTAAAAACCTCTCTCTCAAAGTGTTAAAAAAAATTTATAAAATAGTTGTGCCTAAATCTGTGAAACACCTAGAACAATTTTATTCTTTTGTAAATTATTTTTTTAATGGTAATACATGGGTTGGCAGAGTGTGTTAATAAGAAAAAAAAGTTTCTACGGCAGCTCTAAACGTGTCATTTTTCATTGTCCACAGGTATTGCTACGTGGGGCAAGAAAGTTGCACAAAAGTGGGAGAAACTCGGTAGAAGGAGGCATTGGAGCCCACACAGCAAAAACGACGCGAACGAAGATAACGAAAAGGTATACATTTATCTCCATTATGCAAATATTGACATTTTTCCGTTTTATTACACCTTAAATTTTCTTGACCTACTACTGTAAACATTATTTTATGCAACTGCACGTGCATATAATTAATGCATAATATAAAAAATTTTTTTTTTCTGTTCTACTGTAAATATATTTTCATGCAATTGCACGTGCACATAATTTATGCGTTACTGCAAATTTTTTTCAATGCATACAATTTAAAGTCGACAGTTTTATTTTAAATTGTATTTTACAGCTCTTCCATTGTACAAATTTTATAACTCATACCGTTTGAATGAACAAGCAAAAATTCAAATGTAAATTAATCTTTTTAGATAGCTTGCATTGTAACATAAATACAAAAATACTATCGACTTTTATTATATGAAGCATCTGTTCCAACGAAAAATCTAAATGACACCCACATTTTGTAAAAAAGGACGAAAGGATGCACAACACGACCTTCCCGTCGGACTACGTCAAGCCGAAGCGCATCGGGCGCGTCGAGTCCCTGCGCAACCTCTTCAAGGCCTCGAGCTCGTCCACTTCCCTGCACTCTGCGTTCTCGTCTCGCAAAAAGAACTCGACGCGGGAGGAGAGAAATGACGCCGACTACGACATGACAAGGTCCTTCAGTGACGGCATGGCAGAGCCACAGATCGGCCTCTTGGCCAACCGCCGGCTAGAAATCAGTCGCAGCATCCAGGAACTGGAGCGCCACAGGCGAGTGCTGGACTTTTTCATCGAGAACTCCGAGGTTCTCAACACGCAAGAGGGCGCTGCCGCCGCCCAGAAGACCCTCGAGGACGCGGGCAAGGCTACGCTGAGGAGACGAGCCAAAGTTGGCGACACTGACAAAAACAAAAACGTCAAGTGAGTTATTGGACTTGCTTCTAACGTGATAGTACTAAAAAAAAAAAAAAATCCTCGTTCGGTGGTTAATAAATAATCGTTGTTCCAATTACAGACGCGAAAGCGGGCGAAAAACGTCCGAAGTGAACGACCTGGAGCTGATGATCGGCGGCATAAGGTTGACCTACGACGAGAGCGGATATGACTCGGACAGTACGCGTGCAGGCGCCGACTCGCCTGACAGCGGAAAGTCGATCGCCAAGCGCCACACCTTCTGCCAAGCTGACTGCGGCAACGCAAAACTGCCCTTCGGCAGCTCAAAGAGCCTATCGGATCAGCGCTGTACCCCCGGGATGCGGAGTACCAGCGAGAAATCAGTAAGGTCGGGAGAATTCGCCGAGGACGAGGACGACGCCGCGACCGTGATCCTCGAGGACAGCGAGCCGATGCCGTCAAAACCCGAGGGGAGTCTCGACGACGCTATTTCCGGCGATTCTACCCTGACGAGGAAATCGTCGGCCAAGGTCGCTCTTTGCCCACAGAGCGCGCTGTTCCGCACACCCGAGAAGAAGAGGCCGAGCGCCCTCTACCTGCGGAGTCTCAGTTACATGAAGCTCGTGGATAACGAAGCCTCGCCCTGCAAGGACTCGCCGCCGGCCGGGAAAACCGGCAAAAGCCGGCCGGTGTCGGAGTACACGCCGAAACGGTCGCACTCCGCACTGGGGCCCGCGTCTCCCCGGGTGAAGCGGCCGATCTTCGAGATGCCGCAGCCACCGACGCCGGCTCCAAAGACGCCTCTGACTCGCCGTGAGTTGAAAACGGTCAAAGTCAACGTGGAGAGGCCGGGGGATCTCGGGATCGGGGTGGAGCGGTACGACGCCGTCAGGCCGTACTACGTGGTCGGGTCCATGAGCAAGACTGGGGCGGCTGCGTTGTCCAGGCTCTTTCGGATCGGGGACGAGATCGTGCGGGTGTCGGGGCGTAGGTTGAGGGGGATGTCGCTGGCCGAGGCGAGGATGGTGCTGAGGAGTTGCGTCGGGCTGGTCGAGTTTCAGATCGCCCGGCAGCCGAATTTTCGTTTCTTCGACGGCGACGAGGAAGAGCTCGGCGAAGCTTGGAGCCTAGACGAGAGTATCACTCGCTCGCGGAGCGAGTCAGAGATTTGGGGGATGCCCGATGGGTGCGGGGCGGCGATGGTTGTGGACAAGACGTTTGAAAGTGAGGCGGGTGCCGAGACCAAGGAGGTCGAGATGTCGGAGGAGAACGGCATGGTGGTGAAAAACGCGCGCAAGAGCGAGGATGCCGAGGGCAAAGACAACGGCCGAGCGCTCAAGAGGTCCAAGACGTGCGAGGTTATCGGGGGAGTCACCAAAGACGGGCGTACCGTCGTGCTGGTGCAGGAGAACGAGAACAGGGAGGAGGTCACCGGGATGAGAAAATTCCAGGTAATTGTTTGCAATATCTACTCGCTGGAACAAAGCCTCTTTCACGGGTACCTGATTGGCTTATGGCGAGTCATATAATGTAAATTATGCTCAAAATCGGTTGGATTTCAACCATACAAGAGATAACATTGGCTTTTTGTTTTCCTTTTTTTTTCTCGTACCTCTACATTCGTACAAGTTACTTATTCATGTGAAAAAAATTAAATTTAAGTCAACTCCAATGAAAACGCTGTTAATTTTATCGAAGAGCTCCACTTTGGAATATATTGATTCATTTTAAAAAGGACTTTAAAAAAACACTGAAAAAATCCGATTGAGGTGATTCAGGACCCTCCAAAAAAGTAGATTTCGAAAGTATTTATTGTGATCTCTGTATCTACCGATCATCCTCAACTCGCGATGAAAATAACAAAAAAAAAAAAAAAATAGGTTTAATAGTGATCTTACTTAGAAATTTAAGTATATTGGATTGACTGTGTTATGAACACGATTTAGGATTTTCGAAATTAATGAAGTATAACATAGATGAAGAAATAATTGAACACAAAGTCTTGATTCGAATAATAACTTCAAACACACGAAACATCTTAACATTACCTTTTATTTTGTATCGTGAGCAATTTCGAATCGTTGTGGCATTTGCTATGACAGTTAACAAATCTCAAAGACAAAGTTTTGATAATGTAGGTTTATATTTTTTAAAAAACCA